AATCCATCATACTTGTAGTCCCATTCCTTCACCTTTAAAGGAGACTGGGTTTTCAGGGGCTACCAATAAATGAGGTAAAAGGCAAGTTTCAAGCTGACGGAAGGTAGATTGTCGATTTTCTCGGATCAGGCTTGCAGCTAGTCCCGTTTAGTTGCAAACGCATGACTTTCTTTAGGCGTGACAAAATGGCCATATAGGAAAAAGAATAGCGATAAACACGCCGATCACAGGATGATGGACACTAGCAACACCGGTTGGACAGCACAAAATATGCGCACGAAGGAAAGCGGTCGCAAACCAGAAACATCGTTCTCGAACGCTAAGGCAAAAAGACCTTATAACAGAGGAAGTAAGACTCGGCTAACTAGTCTCCGCTGTGATAATCCGTCTGATTTAGAATGTTTCATCGATCGAATCGGTACTCCCGAGCAACATGGACACCATAGTACCTATTACGGATCATGGATTCGGGATTCGTTCTTAGACAACTACACAGACATGAGCAAGCGATGGCTGACCGAACATTTCTCAGGCATTTTCCTGCGTGAGTACAACCGAGAACAAGAGCTTATGATCGAACATCAGTCGCCGTCTCGCACCTACCAACTGCCCTACATGTATGACGGCACCAACCACGTCATGTACAACCGGTCGTTTTACTACCAGCGAGCCGGCACCCCGACGATCGTCAAGTACGATCTCAAAACAGGACACCATAGCGAGATAACGATCTATGGTGCATCGTACAACAACGCCGATTACCTGTACCACAACAACTCCCAGAACTATTTCGACATCGCTGTCGACGAATTAGGCCTTTGGATTCTGTATCACTATGAAAACCGGCCAGAGCTCAGCGTAATCAAGATAGACCCAGAAAGCTTGCATATCTTGCGATCATGGAACTTGAGCTCAACGATGCACAACAAATATGGCAACAGCTGGATCACATGCGGAATACTGTACACCGTGGACAGCGTCACTAAACTAAATGCCACGGTCGGCACAGCGTTCGACCTAATTAACAACCGATTTGCTTTCGTCAACTTAAGCTGGATCAACCCGCACCAATTTGCAAACACGATTTCCTTCAATCCAGTGGATAAAAACATTTATGTGTACGATAAAGGTTATCTAATTACTG